TTCCTCTTATTTGGTCGATTTTGTTGACCTGAACGATGATGGAAGTTGTTAACACGTTTTTCAAGAGCCGTTTCAGCTGCTTTAGCAATCGACCAAAATTGATTGTAAGTGCTGACTCTATGACCGATAAAACATTTACGTAATTCATCTGATAAATTTTCAATCATCAATACCACAGCTTGTGATTCAGTTAGGCAAGCTAAATTAGCTAATCTTCTCTTTCGTAGGAAATAGTCATTGACATCTTTGGTTTGGAAAAACTTCAAACGTGAAAACTCAACAATAGGATCAACAGCCTGAACTCCAAATCGAGCAATAAGAGAATTTTTAATAACTTCCCAGGATTTGCCATCTCGTGTTTCAATGAAGAAATTCAGAGCTTCACCACCTAAATACTCACAAAGAGCATTGAGCGTTTGCTTTTCAGACCATTGATAACTTTCGGCAACTGTTTCGTACATCTTGACCCAATTTTCAACAGTAATATCTTTCTCTTGGCCATTGAAAACATGAAGCTTAGGTCGATGTAATGTAGTTACTGGTCGTTGCTGACTGACGCTCTCCTCGCTTCTCTTTTCAACGACAACACTGTTTTGAACACCCTTGGTCAAATCAGTATTATCAGGACCCTTGTCATTCAATTCAGATGGATTGAGTGTTGGTGAAACGGTAGGAGAACCATGCAAGCTCATCCTGTCGACTTGTAATGAATAAGAGCCTTTTATAATAATATTGTATGTAAAAGGTATAGCAGTCTCGTATTGAAAGGTCTGTGTGGTGAAGTGATCAAGTGATAGGTGGATAAGGAGATGAGATTAACGGTATACGTTATTAATAATAAGGTATGTTAAATGTGAACTTATAATGAAACTAATGAAGTTCTTGATACCAAGATTGACCAGCGGTTTTAAGGTTAATTTTTATTAGATTTTGATCAGTCGACCAATCACTTATAAATCAAAATTACAATTAAATTCTTGAAACAATGATAGCTAATAATTAACTATTAAAAATGAGAATCCTTATCCTTGTTTAAATCTAAATCTTTTTCCTTTTTTTTTGGTCAACAATATGATTTTGATTAGAAATGACTTTGGTTAATTGTTTAAGATAATTTAAGCATAAATTAAACATTTTTAGAAGCATCGATGACAATGTTAGGATTATTAACTAAATAGTAAATATTGCACAGTATTATTGCATAGTAATATTGCACAGTATTATTGCATAGTAATACTGCACAGTATTATTGCATAGTATTATTGCATTAAAAGTTCTAAATGATGATTGAATCCACTGATGGCTACTACTGTCGAGTACCCGGTTAAAGCAACTTGTGTTTCTCAGTCTCCATCTAGTGATAATGGCTTTCAGCGTTTAAGATTTAGGTAATGAAAGGATTATATAAATTATGAAAACAATGTAAATTATCAAAAAATCATAGATGGCGACTGTGAAAATTGCTTTAAATGGGTCTCTAAAAAATTGCTTTAACCGGGTACTCGACAGTATTACAAATTATTCTCAAAAGTAAAGCATTTTAGTTCTTATATTAATAAATAGCTTCAAAAAACTCGTGCAAATAAGTCAATAGTCAATTGTTTGGTGTTGTGTGATATATTTTATTATCATTATTTGGTTTAATAATGGTTTACAATTTTAAAGTATTCTCTGGTGCAACAAAATTGCGAAAATCACAATGAATATATTTGCGATTTGCATTGAACCTGAACTTTTCAGCGCGATGCCTTTCTCTGTATAAACATTTATACCATCCGCTGACATTTGCAAATCATAAACTCGATTCCTGGTATCATAGTTTCCAAATGATCCTTGGATTGACAATGGGATCGACCAAGAGCAAACCTTTCCGTTTGATACATCAGAATATAAAAGTTGTTTATTAATTGAAGCAGATTGGCCATCCATTTTCAAAATAGCATCAACATAACTGCTTGAGAAATAACAATCAAAAGTAAGTTCACTCGAATCTGATCCAGTTAAATCAACGGAAGTAATGTAACCTGATGATGAAGTATCGTCCTCCAATACAAAAATATTAAAATCATTTGAACTGTCTGTTTGTCTGACAAATAGCTGAACTTTGTCATTGTCATGGACCTTGTAGCAACAATTCAAAAATTTCATCTGATAAATGGGTAAATCTTTAATGTTTGCAGCGGCCATTAAGGTTTGATCATTATTGGCTAACAATACATCATAATTATAATTAAATTCCAGATCTAATTCATTGCCATTGGAATTCGTTGGCCAGATATAATCTGATCTTGACATTGTCCAAGAACAGTATAAAGTATTATCTCGGTATATTGATGAACCATTGGTGACTTGTCCACGTGGACTTTGGAAATATGCGGCAGTAGATCCTAATACAGTCCGTTCACAATAGTATTTATTAACAGCGGGATCACTTGTAATTGAAACAGAGACTTGCTGATATTCAGATTCTTTGATATTATATCCAACAAGATTTATGGTCAAATAGTTGACTCCATTGACTTGTTTTGCTGTGAAAGTGACACTGGCTACATCTTTGTCCACATTCTTGTAAGAATAGCTTTTAGTTAAACAAGAATAATCACAATTATCTTTAGTTTCACAGCTAATTGCAATGAAAACTACAATTAGAACTAGTTTTTGAACAAACGAAGAAATCATTGTGAATTAAGGTTTTCAAATTGAACACAAAACTAAATACATATAAAGTGTGATTTTTAGTTTATTATTAATAAATGCTTGAAATTAGAGTTGATCTGTTAAATGAAATAGATAGACGAAGAAGATTATTCAAATGGCGATATAATCCATGAAAGAGGGTGTTATTTATCATGTGCTTCATGCGTTTCATCCAAATAATAACACATAATGGAGCCGATTCTGTTCTCATATTAAAATGAACTTTGTACACAAAATTGGTGAGACAAGCTATCTGATAAAATCCTCAGTTGTATCATTGCTATGAAATGAAGTAAAATTTTGTTACATTCGCCAACAGAATTTAAAACAAACAATTATACTGATTTTGTATCATTCATCATCACCCTGACCTGCCGATCAATTCCCACAGTCTCAACTCTTAACTCGAAAGGAAAATTTTGTATATTTACTCCTTTTCAGCACAATACTCATTAGTTAATCAAAACTATGATTGTGCATATGAAGCATCTGTCAAACTATGAAACGGAACGACTAGAAACAATCAAGACTCAATTCAAGAGTTGACGATTCTTTTTCTGTACGCTTTGATTATTTTGTGAAAAAATAATGGGTTTTAATTATTGTACATTAAATGCAGTTAAAGTGCAATTGAATATTCTGTTGAAACAAATAATTGAATTTTAACATGATAATCATAATAAAATAATGAAAATGTTGGTTTGTTCAGCTCATTTGTCTATCGTAATCTACATTATATTGAATAGAAAAATTTAAAGCAAATTAAAATAGAAAATTTCTCATCAAGTGTAAACTTAATTATCATAATTTATGAGCTGAAATGATTTATGGGTGAAATTAATCTAATAAAGTTTGAAGGAAAAAGGAAGATAAAGTTTAATAAGAGAAATATAAGACGGATAAACACTAGATAGAATTATGTGAATGAAAAAGAGAAAGTGAAGTAAGAAAACAGATAAAGAAAGAGAGGAAAAATCTTGCATGGATGTAAATTCAACCATATTATCAAGTGGAACATCAAATCGCTGAAGTCTTTGTGATTCTAGGAAGAGGCACCGTGAACGGACAATAAATTTGAAGAGAAAGCCAATACTTTTCATCATACTTATGACAAATAGGCTGTCATTGAATTCATGATAAGATCCAATGGAGGCATCTAATGACAAAGATCCATTCAGTTTGTCACATTGTAATCGTCCAGCTGATAATTTGTCAATATAACGACGAAGAGCAATAATCAATTTGTTGTAAGCTAGAGCAGCAGAAAAGGTTTTCTCAATGTAAACATTAAGTACTGGAGAGAAATGTTGATACTTTATGTCTGATATAAGCCCCACAACAAAAACTAGAGCTTTAAAAACTAAATCGACAAATTCGTCTGATTCTTTGTCTGTTAAAGTTTTAAAAAGAGAGTCTAAAATATCTTGCAAAAATTTGACAATATCTTCACCGTCAACTTTCATAAATGCAAGAAGACAAGCTTTGAGTTCGTCGTCGTTTGATGATGGTGGTGATTTAAGCAGTCCAAGCAGATCAATGTTTGAGTTAGTTTAGTTGAACAAACTATGGAAGAAACAAGGCAAACATCACGAGGATTGAGTGTCAGTCCAGGTACACTGATATTGGAGAAGGCCAACTTTAAACTGGAACCAGAGTTTGAATATGTTGCTTTTGGTATTTTTGACTCGAGTTCACTTCGAGTGGATGGCAATTTAAAGTAACTAACGTTACTGTCAGTTTCATCATACTTTTTACCATCAATTTTATAAATTAAAAGTTCGTGAATTTCATCTTTCAAAGTCGTACCATTTTCATTCATTAGTCTGATGAAGGAGAAAGCAAACGGTTTCTCATTTTTGTCCTTTGATTCATTGCTTGATCGGTGTTTGTAAGTTATTTTGAGATGTGAAGTACGAAAATCTTCAATATCTAACGAAATTTTGATGGTTTCCATCCATTTAGGTTTCTCTTCATGGTAATACACAACTGATTTGTATTCAGATCCCAATGATAAACCAGGACCGACGGTGATTGCTTCAGGAAGGATGTGACCTCTATCATTGCACACTCTAATAGTAACTTCGATATTCTTAGCATTACTTGCTTTTGAACTGAAGTCACCGGAAATCAAAGTTAAATAAAGATCATTACGAACGTCACCAGGTAAAATTATCTCAGGAAAACCCATTCGACGCGCAATTTTGGTATATTGGGAAATAAGATGAGGCGAGTCACCATGAGCTTGCTCTAAATCACCAAGCAGTAGTTTATATGAAATCCATAAGCCTTGGCCTTTGTGATCATTTTCAATGATTTCACCTTTCACTCGTTTTCCATTCTCGCAAAATAACTGTGACTTCTTTTGTAATAATTGGCTCTTCCATCTCAGCACCGCTATAAAACAGATATAAAAACAGATTAATCATTAAAATGTTAAGAATAAGAAGGTAAAAAATAGCACAAATCCATTTGTAGATGAAAATGACGAAATCGATGAAATATTTTCACATGATCGATGTTGACAATTGAAACGTACCATATCTTTTCCTCGACATGATCTTTGATTGCAATGTAACTTTTGGGGAAAATTCCTCTGACATTATCTCCCAATTTGTGACCATAATACCAGTCTTTTATAGACAGAAGGATTGAAACAGTTTCACCAACAACGAGGTCTAAGGCACTTTGAATGACGACCGAAGAGTCCGATGAGAAATTGGATATAGCTTTGAAATGGAATCAATGAAATAAGGCATTAATAAATGGCACCACAAATTGAATTAATGGTAATAGCTGAATGAGATAAACAATGTAATTTAAGAGTACTTACCGACTCCATATTTAAATCTGTCTTCAACAGGGGTCCATTTGGCATCCATTATCTACATCAAAGAGTATAACAAGAGAGACCACTTAATGAAAAACCACTTTTTTCAATAAATTGTTGAAAAAGTCACCCCTAGATGGCGCTTAAGGAAGAAATCAATTGTTTTCAATGTAAAATACAGCGAACAGAGCCATGCAGTGGTGATGTGCCTGAACTAAAATGTACATTTTACATTGAAAAACACTTGATTTCTTCCTTCAGTGCCATCTAGGGGTGACTTTTTCAACTTTTTTGTGATGCCTATTTTTCCATTGAAGTTAACTCTCTTCTTACTCTTTGATCTACATCTACACAATATATAAAGTCAATGTATCAAATTTTCGTGTCAAGATTGTGGCCAAACTTAGCGGGTTCTAAGAAAAAAAATTACACAGCATGAAAGCCCTAATTCAACTTCATCCACGAAAAATAGGAAACCTCGCCTCAGAATTCATATCTCTGAGAAATTCATGAAAATAGGAGTTGGTGAAAAAATTGTAGAATCCGTATTCAATAACATTGAAAAAGGGGGAAAAACTTTTTTGTTATTCAGGTTGATGGTTCATTGTTGGACCAGGATTTTATGTAAAAATTTGTTATTTGAGTAAAGAGTGTTGGTTTGAGGCAAAAAATTTATTGAACAGTAAGAAAGGTTTACAAGTTTACTTCTCTGGGTCTACATCACAACTGTTGTTGAGTTAAGGTTAACTCTTATTTTTAAGAGAAGATTCAAATTTACTTTTTCAACTGTCATCTTCATCACAAAGACATTTGTAAGATGACCTTTAGGTTATTGGAGTAAAAACTGCTTTAGTGAAAGGATAAGTTAAGGAGAAAGTATTGAGAGGAAAAATGAAGTAATTATGTTTGAGCTTTTTAAAGTTAAGTTGGACATTTGTGAAGCACACTGCGAAGGGTTGAGTTAATAATTGTATTCTGAAGATGATCTTAGTTTGTGACAATTAGTAATATGAGTCGGATTTGAATGACTCAAGAAAATCATTAATTAATTTGAGAATCAAGAAAATATCATGTTTGGGTTAAATTTAAAGTAATCATTAAGTTTAATTTAATGAACTTATATCATTCGAAAGAGCTTGAAAAGAGCTTTCGAATGATATACTGAGTTAATGATGAAAACATTAATTGTCTTTGAAATAAGATGAACCTTTGAAATATTCAATATTATTGAATAGACATGAGAGTTAAATTATGTCGGTTTGTAGCTCGACACTGGATGAAGTTACAGACATGAAAAATATATTAATTAAAAGTATTTTAGATGTTTTTTCTAATGATATGTTAATTGTCTTTGTCGGTTGTTTAATTCTGTAAAAATAGTGGGGTCGCCAGGATGACTTTCACCATTATATTCCCTATGTAAATACATAGACTTTTGACGCCGGGCAAGTTAATGTTTTGAAAGATGGACTCAAGTTACAGTAATCAATTATAAATCATTAGTTAGATCTCAAAGAGACGAAGATAATGATATATAAATAAATGTTGAAAATTATGTGGTTGATGAACAACTGATGACCCAAGTTGGATTCGAAAAATGAAAAATTTAAGTTTGAATGAGATTCATGTAAAATATGCTTCTAAGAGCTAATCTGTTGTAGTCATGAGGTCTGATTACAACCAACAAAGAGTAAAGAGAGTCTTTTCTCATTATATTGTCTACCACTCAATCCAACACATCCACCAAATCAACCTAAACAACATCACTTTTTAAAAAGACTTTTCTCAACAAAATTGTCAACAAAATTGGCCGGCACCCTCTTGACCACTTTTACACCATCTAGCATGTCCACTATTAATCGCCATCATATCTCAAAAAGTGTTTGAAAATGTGGTGGAAAAAAGCCACTCTAAAGTGGTTAATGAAAGTGGTGGACAAAAAGTGATGTTTGATTTAGTTGCTTTGGCGGATGAGTTAGATTGGGTGGTGGACATTACCGTGAAAAGACGGTTAGCATGGGTGGTTAAAAGAAACTTGCGATCAGCCATGATCGCATTAGTTTCTTGTTTATTTTAAACGCGCTTAAATTTTAATTAAAATATCATCTAAATAAATAATACACAGAAAACTAGAAATGAGAGGATTGACGGGTATGAAGAGGCATTGTAAACACATCTGAAAGAAGTACAGTAGGGGCTCTCTTACAACACTTACACTTACACGGTGAGTTTGGACCAAATGTAAGAAGATCCATTGATGAAGGTATGCCTCCGAATATCTACTTGACTTGTTCAAAATCTGGCAAGATTGATAGGAGAATATTGAACGAGTGGAAAGAACGGTGTTTAGCACCTAATATAGCTGATAAGTGCTGCATAATGAAGCAAATTTGGCTATTCCTGGTAAAGAAATTTGTTGCAAATTGATTCCACCTGGAGCTACATCTCTGGTACAACCACTGGATGTATATTTTTTCAGACAGTGGAAAAAATTTGCGAAAAAGTTCACAGAAAGAATCATTCTAGATGCTCTACCATGTAATTTACATGAAAGAAAAACTATTATAAAATTACATGCCCTTATTCACAATCAGTTTTCGGCACCAATATTCAAAAGAATGATATCATACGCTTGGAAAAAAGCTACTTATCCCGTTGAAGTAGAGTCGTTTGATGCACCAGATAGTGTTATTTGGAACACCGAAGGTAACCTCTGTCAACAACCAGATTGTTCTTCAGAATCTTTCATACAATGTGCACATTGTAGAAGCCATAATTGTATAAAGTGTTTTTTCGTCACACCACACAAACATTGAAAAAATACTTTAAAATGGCTTCCAAATACTTGTAGTGCGCCATTTGCCGCCATTTTATGTGATTTTGCTGGTAAAACAGAAATTTTTTTTGAAAATTTGAAAATTTAACGCTTTTTTAACGCGCATGCGTGCGTATGGGCCGCTATTTTTGATGCTAAGCATCATATTTTTTGGCCCTCTACAACATACTAAAAGTTGAGAAAATTCTGCGGGGGGCAGTTCAAAAGGTTACCTTGTTAGTGTTAGTAAGTTGGTTAGTAAGTTGGTTGTTAGTCTAACACTTTGAGCTAAAATCCCACTAGATGGCAACATCTTTTTTTGCCTAAACAGATGATTTGAAGAAGAACAAGATAGTAAACAAGATGTAAAATAAATTGTGTTTAATAGTAGTTATGATCATTTGTAACATTATTTTGACTATTCAAATCATAAGAATTTAAACCAATGTGCTTCCAACAATTGAATATGGTCTGCTCAGTGACTAGAGACCAGGCTTGGTTGGAAAATTGTATTGCATTGTAAATGTCCACCGACTTAGTTACATCGTTAATATTGAGATTCTCATTTTGGCTCATTCTTTCATAAATGTATTTATGGTGTGTTTTAGTGTAATAATCTTTGAAGTTTTTAATTATACCTGCATTGAGAGCTTGTGTCTTAGACGTGGTATTTGGTAGTAAGAAAAGAAATTTTTTGTAAAAAAGGGCAGCCTCGTCGAGGTTATAAATATTTTATGGCCTATATTTCAGTATTTTATCATTTGCTTCAATTTGCCAACGGTGTATTTCCAATGTATTAACTGAATTACTTTCACCATGTAATTTGATATTTTCCATGTTGATACGCTTAGATAGTCTATGTATATATCCATTCGATCCTTTGAATTCAGCAATACCATGTTTTCATAATTTTCTTTGGCAAACTCTTGGATCAAACACCTGCTTAATGGTAGATTCCTTTTTGATGATTGTCGAATAAATTCCTTGATTTCATTATCAATTTCAACAACGACCTGAGGGTCCCAGCGAGTGATACCTCTTCTTATACTCTTTGCACACAATAGTAAATACACAATATGATAAGGTTGAAAAGTTAGATTAAAGATTAGGAGAAAAAGGAAGGAATGATCAAAGAGTAATATAACCAGAGTCCTCGCGCAATGTATTTTATTGATTAGGGAGATAAGTAGGGAAAGTTAGACGGGGCGGAATGCCGTCAAGATCCCGAATCCGCTCCTCGTTTATCTGGTGGTAAGAGGTATATACAGGGTGATTGATAATGACCCCTGGACGTTTGATTTTTAATAACTCTATTAATACCCGTTTAATTAATCCCAAATTTGGTTACAAAGTAAATCAACTATTTTTAATTCACATGATAACATTTTTGATTTTATGCGAAACAATCGCTATTTAAAGTTAATCGAATCAGATAACGCCCATTTTGTGATTGGAGCGTTGCAGCTGCAAAATTTCAAAATTTGCATAAACCAAAACCAGGTGTTAAACTAATCTGATAGTGCAGGTTCAACTTATCAAAGTTAATTTTCACTTAAAAGTAGGAGTTTTTTAGTTATTGATAATCAAACGTCCAGGGGTCATCATCAATCACCCTGTAATTATACATGCTGGATCATCGAGTGGCCTTGTTCCTAATTGCTTGAAAATTTTTACCACAACTGAGATTGACGGTGATTATCACAAATCCATGAACTCGAAAGTATTCACTGATTGGTTTAAGAACCAACTTCTACCAAACATACCATCGAACAATATTGTTACGCACCGGATAAAATAATACAACTCCACAAGTAAATAAGCAAAGGTTTATTTAAAAGAAGGTTAACGTTTTAAGACACCAGTCATCACTGACTCAAAATGAGACATACAGAGGTGATCAGTGAGTCCTCGTTGAGTACAACATTTCCCTCCACTAACAAAAAAAGAAACTGACTCAGTTTACTTTCAACCATTACAATTGTATGTTTTTATGCTTAAATTTTTGTTCCAAGTAAAATTGTGTTGTTTTGTTCTTGTTTGTCTTAACATTTAATCATTGTTTTTTAAACTGTGATAATACTATGTCATCTAAAAGGAAATCGTCAAATATTGTTTCAAGTTAAGCTGGGACATCAAAAATTACAAAGAAAACAGCTACTGCCGCCGCTTGTAAGGTTCATATCCCTTTTCAACAATAATCGACGTTATGTATGGCCCAAACAATGTCATGGTCAATCTGGTCACTTGACCAGATATTATTACATTTGTTTTGAAGTTGTTTAGATCGGTATATTTG